TATGACTCTTCCATTTGGAGAAGCAGCTGCTCTACACCAAGGCTCTTTCAGATATCCGAACTACGGACCATTCCGAGATAGGTAAGCTTAGCGGTTCGTCTCAGAAAGATCATTTCAGCTGATTAAACCCAGGATTGAGATCTTTCAGTGATGGCCCACAAGAGTAGAGTCTCTCTATTTAAATGAGGCTTGCAACCAAGAGTCACGCAGTTGTCAACTTCAAGGAAATTGTTTCCTGCCACGGCGTCATCCCAGAAGCTTGGAACCAAGTATTGAGGGAGTATTTCACCATAATCTGAAGGACTGCTTCAATTCACAAAAAGTTTTCACTTGTCGTTGGATCATTGAGTTAAACAGTGTCAGTGACTTCGATTGCTTTGATTTGCTGCTTGCTTCGACTTTGAAGCTGTTTTACAGGCAAAAATTTAGAAAAGCATAAAATCTCATGGGATGCATAAGCACGTCATTTCCATCTTGGAAGAACTGTTTGCAAGAACCACTATGACTGCTTTTAAGGTCATCAAAGGACAAAAATTTCAATCGCTATATGGAGTTTGTCAGGGAGATGTACTTTCCTTTATTCTTTCGTTTATTTATGGCTAACACATTTTGTGAATTTTTTGTCAACGGTCAGGTGATTCAATGCGAATTGCAGTTCCTGCCGCAAGCATGAAACGGCGTGATCGCATGTTCCGCACGTTCTGGCATAATCACACCAGAAACGGTGCTGGCCCTCTGGCTCGAAATTCGACTGCTTGCTAGCGGTTTTACGGCTGGTTGCGCAAAACTGATTGAAATGCATACCTAGCGCAAAGGAATTATCAGTAAATACGGAATTTACGTCCTGCATGAAATTTTAACCCGGTACCTCAGGGAAAATATGGCTTGGCTACTCTGTTGCTCAAGCTCTGTTAGCCTTTTCTGGCGATAACGCTGCAGCAACATCTCTAAACTATAGAGCAAAAATATTGCCCGTTTTTGCCTTTGCTATTCAACAGTGCTGCTGAATTGCTTCTTTGAAACAATGATGATCTGATGAAAGGAAATGGTTTCATTCCCGAATGGTGAAGAAATTTCAAGAACTCAGCTAGACATCGTAATGAACGGTGCGTGATAGTATCGGTTTGCTTAGAAAGTACGAAAATGCTTGTTATCTTACGATCTCATCATGCAAGACAGCTACAGAATAGCCCCATGAGTTTCCAGCAGAAGTCAAAGGCCATGACGATCCTACCCGGCATACCACCTCCAAAAGTGCAACAAAGAGGTAAATCAGTAGAAGAGGCTGACGGGCTTAAGAACTTCGGCGCATCTTCATCGAGAGCACTGTTCTATTAGAATTTAATAGGCGAAGCAGACTGATTCCAGTTCTTTTAGTAATCAGTCCAACATATTGCACCAGAAAAGAATATTTATTTTTTTAAATCTAAATGCACTTAACATCGGTCATGTTAGTATTGCTACACGACATGGAATCGTTCATCTTATCAGAAAGTCAAGGATGAAGCTTGAATGGCCCAGAACGACGCTGAATGTTGAGCGATACATGGTGAGAACCAGATAGCAGGATTAGAAAACGTATGATTTTTTTCTGCTCAGCGCTGAAGTATTCTCAGTAGACATAAAATTTGAAATAAAAGGTTGGACCCGTTGGCAAACAGGTTGAGCATAAACTTTTATTCCAACCAACCAGATAGCTGTTTGTGTGGAAATCGCAACACATTAGATAACGACAGGAGGCCATCACATAAGGCGACAGTACAATATAAAGACAGGTGTGCCTTCGAAAAGGAATTGTGCTTTGTACGGTGCAGTAATACCGGTGCCTTATAACAAATTATTCGAAGGCAACGAGCATAATAAACCAAAAAGGATCTGTTTATACAAACGGTTCAAACTGACAATGGCAACAAACACTTACGGTCATATTCGATTATTGCAAATGTGTCGAAGTAATGGTTTTACGCGCTTTGGTATGACTCTTGAGAATTTAATGGTAATGTTCTCAGTCCTAACGAGAAAGGTATCCTGCTGATCTAATGCCAGCATGCGTTTAAAGAATTGCTTTTCAAATATGGACGTGTTCGTGGCAGAAGAAGTTTTATCGGGTGAAACTGATATCTATTTATCAAAACAACGTCACCTGTTTTGACTCTGTTTTCTTAACACCTAGCGTCGAACTACATAAGTAATTTGTTGAGGTAGATCTGCAAGACGTCTGACAACTAGTTGTTTTTTGCAGGTTTCTTGTCCTTTACTCAACCAAACAGCCGAATAAAAGGCATACTCTCCTATCAGGAGCAATGAGCTGCTGCCAATGATGTTTCCAGTATCAGAAGAAAAAAGTTTTTAGTTTACGGTTATAGGAAGCTAAACTGTCAAAAGTTTTCGTCCAAAGGTGTTTGTTACGATGATGAACAGCATAGCCGTTGTTGTAAACATAGACTCAGTATCAACATAAACTCAAATCAATAATACATTTTAGCTTTTGACTTTCTACGTGCAAATTATCTTTTTCATTTGTGCATTTTGAATTTGAACAACCTCCGATAAATGAGTAGTTGAAACTTTACTAAAAATTCAATTATGCACATCATAACCATTATACAAAAAGCGTAGACGTAAATTCATTATTAATTGATCTTGAATGTCTCTCCTTCCATTGCAACTTGAACTTTCTTGGCCTGAAATGCAATTACTCTTAAACAATTGAAAACGCTGACAATGCGTTTACCATTTGATCTTTCGGTGGCTTCGTCAATCGAAACAATCGGAACTAAAATAATGGCGCAATCACAATAAAAATCGTTTTATTTAAAGTCAAAACTGGTTTAATGCTCGTATTGTTTTAGCTTGTCGCTCTAGCGGATTTGATCCATAAGTTTTGGCAAATTTTGCACTATTAACTTCGTTCTACTTTAATCCTTTATTTATGTACTGATCGCTCATTCAGTTTGCATGTGTTTTGTCGACTCTGAGAAAGCCTATGACCAGATCTCGCACAACAGTCTGTGGGTATCTCTACCAACATATGCGATCGATGGCCAGTTGCTCCAATCACCATATGCTAATAGTAGGTGCTGCGTCAGAGTAAACGGCCTTAAATCGAGACCTTTCAGCGTTGGCACTGGCTTTTGCCTTGGCTGCATTCTGTCCCTCTCTCTTCTTTGTGTCGAACACAGATAGAATAGTCAGGCACAGCCAAGGCGACGAGTATGTCGGTGTAGGAGATGTGAAGACGAGAAGGTTGCTGTTTGCAGACGACCTTGTTTTATTAGCATCTTCTGAAACTGATCTCCAGTGCTCCTTAGGAAGGTTCGCAGCCGAGTGAAACGTGACAGGCATGCGTGTGAACGCATCTAAAACGAAAAGCCTAGTGCGTTCTCGTTCTCCTGCCCGTTGCTCTCTTGAGATTGACAGAGAAGCAGTACAACAGGTTGAAAAGTTCACGTACCTCGTACCTCTGGGTCTTGTTTACTGGTGATTGTAAATGGGATGAAGAGATCAACCTGCGGGTTGGAATCCCCTGAACCTTCTTGACCGATGCAGAGCTATCTACGAAGACAAATCCGTGACTGCGAAACCTCAATACCTCAGTCCTCAGTAGAAGCGTCTAAAATAGGCTGTGCTAATGCGTCTCGACCATGATTCGAACTTCGGAGAGCCTTAGTGTACAACCGTTCCTTCTACAGATTGAGAAGTCACATTCGCGATGGTTTCTACAAGTCTTGGGAATGCTTCCAGAAAGAAAGATGAAACAGTAAGTATTCGCTCTATCGACCTGCCAAAGAAGTCGATGAAAGCCAAGAATGACCTTGGGTAAGTGTATCGAATGACTCTGCCCCAGAATCGGGTTTTCTGCTACCGAAGACACTGTCTGCGTTAGCGATCCCAAAGGATGAGCGATCATGGAAACTGGCTGACTGATATCAAGAGTTCGTGCAACTTCAAAGACAAAAATTGTATCTTGGAAAAATTACAAAATTTGCAAAAGGTTACCCTTCGGAATCTTTTCAAAAAGTGCCATCGCGATCTTGTCTAAAATAATGAAGCTTACAACACCACTGATAGTGACTTGCATAAATCTTGTCTTACCATTTTCTTTACAAAAAGAAAGCGCGAGCTATAGGCGATACACACTATAGCAGCCGACGCCATCACGACAACAGATGCGATAACAATTCTTTTATTTCTGACCGCAATGCCTTCAACATAAATGCTTACTTCAGTGCATTGAATGAAATCCTAACGATTTTAATATTCATCATAAAATTGCGTAGGTGATTTCGAATGCTGAAAGGATATGCATGCGTAATATGCCTCTGAAATATCGACGCTGTGACAACAGCACCTGAACAAAATTCCACAACTGTCCTTACCTGTAAAAGAGTAGTCTTCGTGACGCCACTGAATTGACGAATGACTTTAACGAAGATAAATGCAAACATTCTTCAAATATAAACCAAACGAATTTTTGATCTCAATTAAGAAACGTGAAGAACGCAGTTATCGCCGTTTTACAAAATCATACATGGCAGGAATTTGTAGCACGAAAGAAAACATGCTCTATATGATATGTTGTAACTATTTTCCTGATGGGTGCTTCATCGATATAAATTAGCTTTTTCTGCTCTAAGCCCTTGGATTGCCAAGTGTTTTAATCTAATACCTTAATGCGCATCCTGCGCTTATATTCTTTAGTGGTTATTTCCTACCTTCATCCATGCAATTTCCAAATTTTCTGTAGTTCAGTGCGAATGAAGTTAAAAATTTGCAATGTTTTATCTGTTGTCCTTGTTGAGGTCAACAGAACTAGATGAAGTACAAAACTGCGTTTCTCTTTGACAGCTCATTTCAACAAAAGAATAATATATGACACGGGGGACTTTTGGAAGTGGCGAATGTTCTTATCCGGAAACAGCCCTTGTGCTTGAAATAGAATTTTTCAATTAGGTTGCTCCAACTGCTAACCTAAGAGTGCGAAAAGTGGACCCTAAGCTTGAAAGCTGTTGATAAACTGCAGAGCACGCAACTCAGCGTGAAAAAACTTGCTTGCATTAACGATAACAGATGGGAAAAGAAATGAATGGATAAAAGCACAGACAAGAGCCTGCGATATCGTTGCCCCAGTGAATGGTACACCGCAGGATAAATGAGACATTAAATCGGGTTTTAAGTAAGAGTAGATGGGGCTCATGGGAAAATCTCCAGATCGACGGAAGGATAAGAATGGATAAAATGGGCGGAAAACAGAAGTTTATGGCAAAGTCTTGGAAAGGCCTTTTTCCAGCAGTGGATCGATAAAGGCTGATGATGATGACGAATGTTGCATCTACGCAAGAAACGTTCAGTGATATTAGTACAGTCAACAAATAGATCATCACTTAAGCATTTCAAAAACGGCAGAGTACCTACTGCTGTCACTATTATAAATGTAAAACTGCTTGAAACGGAAGCTGAATTATAAACTAATTGATAATTCATTTAATAATTCTGATTAGTAATAATATTGTAACGCTGATCGAACATTAATAAAATATTGAATTAACTTCGACTTGTTATCGAGTACGTATTGATTACCTTTATGACAGTCTTCAAGGTAAATGATTTTCATGTCTTCACAGCAGTATGACTTCGTCTCATTCTGTTGACATATCGTTTCATTCATGCCATCTCTTGGCCGATATCTCAGAGCAGCAACCCGACCACATGTTCCGTTTGGCTTTGACCATGAGCCCCACATAGTCCAGCTGCATGTCTTGCACACGCATGGTTTCGAAAAGTCAATGTATGTTTGAGGACATTTTCCGTACGGTTGCTCGGCATCGCGTTTGATCACAAAGCTGTGTTTGTTAAAACATTCTAACCGGTCGTGATAATACTTACACCGACTGCTCATCGCATAGTCGCAGTTTTCGTACGGTTTACTTAGGCACAGGAAATAACCAAACAGCCATTTCTCACATTTGATCAATTCCGAAGTTTTGAAATCTTTCGACTTCTCCTTTCTTTGCAAAACTCCGCAATATGATTCATCCATGCCAGTGAATATCAGCTTCAGGAAATCTGCGTAGTTCAGACGCAAATCAATATTCGCTGATATTTTATAAGTGCTATGGTGCAAACGGGCAAAGTACGTATTGTTCGGTTGTCCACTGATACTGAACGTCATCTTGACGTAAGTGCAGCCGATCAGGTCTATTCTACAACTTTTAAATCCCATGACTACCGACGACATTAGCTGCCAGCCATTGAAAATCTTTAGATTGTCAAATCTGCCAGGATTAAAATTCCAATACGACCCTTCTTTAAAAGATTTTCCAGCAAACGCAACTCGACCAAATTTAAATTTTGCGCATCTTTCTACTAACGCATCATAAGGCTTTTTATGATCATGAATGGCCGTTACGACGTTCACCAACGTAGAACAAGTTCGAGGACGCCCAAAAGAGTATCCCTGATATGAACTACCCAATTCTTCATGAGGACATATGTCTGAACAGATGCCTTGCTTTGCCACCAAGTAAAGAAAGACGGTGAGAAATATTTTCTTGTCCATTGCAAAAGCTAAAACATGCCATTTTATAATTGAAGGCAGCTAGTCGTAAAAGAAATGCAAATAGCACATACACTTTTAACTAATACGTAAAGAATCAACGCTTCTAATTTTATCCCCTCAATTTAATGATTTTCAGGCGCTTAAAATTTCATTATCCAAGTTTTTATAAGCAGAGGCGAGGCAAATCTTTCCCCAAGTCAGAAAAGTATCCATCACAGTACCGTTGCGAACCTAACCGTCGGTTAAACAGATTATGATGGTCAGACATGGCATATTTTATGCCAACGAATATCCATTTATGAAAAGGATACTCTTGCCACAAAGGTGAAAATAGGAATTGAAAGAGAGTGCCATAGTTTGTTGTATTTCTAAAAAATGATTATAGGTCTTTCATTATTTCGATTATTCTCTAAAACCAGAAGGACATTTATGAACAGTGAATACTTTATTAATTGTTGGAGTCGAATATTCACACAGCAAATAGGGTATTCTGGCAGACCGTCCGCCGGCTCCAGGGTAGAAAGAAGGGCAGTCTCAGAGTCTTGGAGGACAGGTCTGGGCACCCTTCTACCATAGATGATGACATTCTTAGGCGATAGAGAGAGTAGTTTGAGGAACTCCTTAACCACGCGCAACCGCAGAAAGACTCGCGTGTAGAGCAGAAGGGTACGTATATTACTATCTCTGTAGACGAAATTCCACAAGCTGTGAAAAGCTTGAAAAATGGAAAAGCTGCTGGAATTGATGAAATCCGCCCTGAGGTGCTCAAGACATTAGGCGAACAAGGCATGTGCTGGCTAACAGGTGTTTGTCAAACTGCGATGACTGCGGGAAAGACACCAGCGGACTGGAGAACGGGAGTTATTGTACCCGT